ATGTTGATGATGAATAAATTAAATTTTTGAAAGTACATTTTATCAATTAATATTCAAAGCAAAGAAATAAATGGCGAAATTTTATGGATCCAGTGTGTGGCTATTAATCTTGTGGAAGAAAATTAATTGCTTGGTACCCCCAAATGTGTTAAAATTTTGCAAAGAATATCACTATGCATTTGCATCCACTTCCACAATAGGAGAAGGGACTAACAATAAAATACAACAAAGACGTTTACTTTGTAATTATAACCATTTCATCTTATAATTAAGAAGCATTAAACAGTAAATAAAATTTTATCATCTTAGTGTTGAAATGAGCTTCGCTAAAAAGAATTTCACAATTAATGAAAGGAATTTTTCAATTTCATTCATATGTAATTAGATTTATCATAATGAATTTTGGAGAGGGGGGATTATTGATCCTAATTTTCATCTTGCAACAATAATTGCGATAAAAATTTTTAAGCCTATGCTTTTTACTACTAATAATAAAGAGCGCGGAGTGTGCGAAAGACTTACCTCCACGTGGTGCACCATGGGCAACGTATTCTCATACGGCAAAAAAGTCCATAAACCGGCAGTTGACGTCTCACTTCAAACTACCAAGACCCCATCGCATTTCATATTCGGCTAATTCCACAGTGCTCACCTTTTTTCTACCTTTGTGTCTATCTGTCTCTTTTACGTCTGTGAATCATTATTCTGTCCCCCCTTCGACTTTTTGCCACTTTGGTGTTCCTCTTCCTTTATGTAAAGCACGAAGTCAAATAATGGGCAATGATACCTATCATATCGCCCGCCATTTGAAATAAATAAATAGATAATAAAGAGTGCTCCCACTTTAATCTTCTCCTTTAATTGATATTATTTCCACAAAATGCCATATAAACTTTATTTCACATAATTTTAAAGCTAGATACTATAGAGTGTTACTCAATTAACACATAGTTACGCTATTATTTATGATTTACTTAAACGCATCTTATATATCAGATCACGTGCACCACTATTGATCTAATGGAGCATGACGGACAGCAGTGAAAGGGAATTTACTCTTATAACTGATGCCACTATTACGACAGCTACAGAATTAACGAGTAATGTAAGTAACAGAGCTAAGCAACCAGAACTTGCCAAAAATAAGCGAGAATATCCTACTCCACCACCTCTAAGACCAAATCGATTTCGTTACTCCCTCTTCGTCATAACTACATATGTTGGGTTTGGAAACTGTATGTTCTTTTGTTGCCTCCCACTCTTAGCTGTTGAAAATATTTTCCGAGGAATGGGTTATCACATGCCTATATCTCTTCTATGTGCCGTTATGAATGTACCAACAGCAACTTTGTGTATGTGTCCTTGTGTCCTCACAAAGCTTAGACGAAAGTTCCGTAAAAAGAATGACATCAAAGGGAGTTGTTTAATGGATTGCTTTCTTTCATTCACCCTCTTCTGCTGTGTCGCAGCGCAACTGCTAACTGAAGCACGTGGAGTAATAATAGACCGAAAGAGAGGAACTAATCAAGAGACTGAAGAGGAGGATGACGAAGAAGAATAAGATAAATATAGAATAAAATAATACACACTTTTATGTCTGTTATCTAAAGCCCATTGTTACACATTTTGGTCTATTTAATATGATAAATTTGAAGTTGTTTTATCACCATATTTTGTCCAGCATTTACAGCCTCACAAGCCCACACCTAGGTTGTCTTATTGAAATTAATTTATGAGTTAGACTCAAAAACATTTGCCAGTTACCCATAAATCAATATGTGATATATTGAGAACAAAGGTTCCATTATTTAGAAGTTAATAAGATTGCATTTCTAATTCCGGTTCAGTTACTATTAATTGAATCTAACGTTGAGTGTATCTGAAACTACCATTTAAGGATTAGTTAATTTGCGCCAAAACAGTGGAGAGTTTGGTTTAGCAATGAATCCTAGATAATGGTTACCTTGCAGCAATTGCATCAATATTATTATTATTTCTAAAGATAAATAGTCTCGATAGAGCCGCAGGTCAAGCAAAAGTTTGAGTTTAAAATTCTTTCTAAGTTGAAATCGTGAATTCAAGGGGTTTGTTTGTTATATAATGGATTAAAGTAATCACTTAATATTCTAATGAGAAGTAATTCAAGTTTAAGCAAATTTTTCCAGGGTTAACAATTGAATTATGACATTCGTCAAAATAACAATTCGTAGACATTACATTCATGCATTGTTTTGAATAAACTTTATCACAAGTGCTTGCAATCAAACTAAAGACGTCCGCCATCATCTAACAGTTTAAAAATATAACCCAGACGAAAAGAATCTTCTGTACGGTGGTGTATTGTCTATTATTAGAAACCTATTTTTATGTACATTATTTTTAAAACATTAGCCTTTTAAATTAATTTCAGTAACTAATCAGATGTTTCCTCACAATTTGTATGGATAGGAAAAAGACTAGTTCGCACAAAAATCACAGAACTGTATTAAACTATATCATTTGAAATAAACACGAAATAGACCTCAAAAACTTAGATATGTAAAGTATTCGACGTAAATTAATTTAACATTCAGGATACTAGTGTTACAAATTAAAGGACCAACAGGCTAACATTTTGAGATCAAATAAAAGAATTTTAATTTCATTAGATTGAAAAACTTGACTGTGGATATCGTATAACTTAAGCATCCTTTTTAAAAATAGGGTACATAAACGATCCAAGCCTCTCAAAAAATTTGCGCGTTATATTGTTTCCAATTTCTAAATTAAATGTTTAATTTACTTTTAGCAAGTCTTATAAAACAGAATCTAAAATTTTCAAAAAACTTTAAACATTCGATGCTATTTGATAATTAAAACACATAATACGGAAAAGGATTAAAAATCTTAATTGAATTTACTTATAGAATTCAACAATTAACTGAGCGCAGAACGCTTCATAGTTCAGGAATTTATACAATATTTTAATTTAACTGACATAAAATTTTTCGATATCAAACTTAAATCAAAGATCTCTAATTTGTTTTAATTACCAGAATTATTTAGTTAGACCTGGAACACTTTTAAATTAATTTCGTGTTGAGTTTTATCCGTTTTTATCTATAATAATGGTCTTGAGAACCAGGAAAAGACAGTCTACTATTCGGGGTCCAGACCCTACAAAGCGCAGAAGAGGTACTTTATTTACTACTTTTACTGTGAATTTTACGTTCTTTTTTAATGGCCACCCTTATGAAGTTGCACTATCCTCTCTACATGGTTTGACTACAAAATCGTCTGTCAAAAACGTGGGGATTGTTTTGAAGCATATTTGACCTAAAATTGGGTTCATTTTATTTACAGTCCACATTTCATTTTAATTTCCCATAATTCCAATTCTTAAAACTATCATTTCTGCGGGGTTGTCATGTTTGTGAGCGTACAGAATAATTTCTAAAATTTTATGGTTTTCTAATTTCAGTTGATTCTGCTGTTGAGGAAGTACTTTCACGGCTCAAAAATTTTCACTCAAATAAGTATTTAACTTCTGGCACTGTCCTTACACTGGGATCAGGGGACACTGGTCAGCTTGGGCTTGGGCCTGATACGACTGAGCGCACTAAACCAGCCCGTTTTAGCTCAACGAGTCTCAAATCCGCAGGCCTGACAGATGAAACAGCGGAAAACTTCGTTCAAGTTGAAGCTGGCGGTATGCACACAGTTTGCCTTGACAACAAAGGCCGTGTTTTCACTTTCGGCTGTAATGATGAGGGAGCTTTGGGTAGACCTTCGACGGATATACCTCCGGAGGAAGGTGAAGAAGGTGGTCCCATAGAGGAATCTAGACCTGGGATTGTAACCTTTCCTGAGAATGTCAAAATCATAATGGTGAGTACTTACCATTGAGCGTCTTCATTTTTTTCTGTTTAAACCATTCCGCTTTTTATTTCTTTCCTTTTATTTGTTACTTTCATTCAATCGCAGTTACGCAACTCATACCAGTCATCCATTGACATTATCGCAATGCTCTCGCTAACGCTTTGTAATAATTTGCCTTCGGTTTATTTATTTCGGTAGATAAGGAAATAAATACATGATTATTAGAAGAGATCTTGTGTAGGTGTAGATTTTTGTTCTGCTAATATGTTAGCTTCTGTCATGTTCTCTTTGATTAGTGTGATGTCATTTCTCGCTAACATGTAAGCGCGAATTGGTTTACGGAATGACTTTTTTAGGATGAAAACTACTTTAGTCGAGAGTTTTTTAAAATTTATTTCCGTCATTAAGGCAAATTGACGTATATCTTTTAGAACGGCTTTCTTGTGCTATGGTAACGAAATAAGTCTTACTCTTAGAATTTTCCCCTGTTGCGTAATTTTGCTTTCCATAGTCATCTAAATCAAGTACAGGCAACCATTATCCGTTAACTTCTAACTTGAATCCTAACTGTGCTCCACGTGAACACAGCTCAGTTATCAAAGAATTTTGCGAATCATCGACGCTTGAGCAATTATTGTTAAAAGATCCGAGTTTCACTGAACTCGGAAGCTAGTGCGACGAATTTTTAGAAATTATTTAAGATGGTAATTATGTAATTTGTTGTATGATATTCTGGCTTACATTCTCTGTTCTTCGAAAGCTTATTAGTTGGAATGATTATCATTATATGCGAATCGTGTTTGATATTCTAGTGCTGTGAATGGTCAGGTATTCTGGTTGGTGCATTTGACAAGGTTGTAATCGCGAGTTATGGTTCATTTCTAAACCAATGTGTAATTAATTTAGGCAAATCTTGTTTTCTAACATTGTTGTTCTCTATACTAATTGGAAAATCAATATTTCTTATGTAACGATGACGTTACCAGTCTAGATGAATCGATAACCATGTTTCAATCTATAGGTTACTTTGCTCTTGATTAAAGCATATCCCTATCTTTATAGACCAAGTGACATGTTCATCAAGTGTGATCAAGGGCCAAAATTTTTATTCGGCTTCAGAAATTGTCTTCTAAATGAAACCTTGCAACGAATATAGCTTACAATGCTTTCAACATTTGTCGTTTCTTTTTATATAAATGGTACTGTTAACGACCTCGGTGCTGAATTTAAAAATTCTAGTTTAAGACGTTTTCAAGTTTAAATCCCTATTGGAAATCAATTCTAATGTGAATAGAAAATGGTTGACCGAGGTTCCTCTGGTGAGAGTTGCACTTTCTATCGACCTTTTTGTCAACCACATTTATCCACTGCACGATAGTTACTACTCTCCCGACCTTTGACCTGACAATTGCCCACATTGACCACTGCTGGGTTGTAATCTTCGATCTCGTTTATGTTACTTGAAATTTATCTTTTGTATGTGTGTACAGATTTCTGCTGGCGATAGTCACAGTGCCGCTTTGGATAGTTCCGGTCGAGTTTGGCTTTGGGGCACATTCCGAGGTGCAAATGGTGCTATCGGTCTGACCAAGGAAAGTGAAATTAGTCGTGCCCCAGTCCTTCTCTCCTCCTTCACCGATCGAGTTGTCGTGAAAATCGCATCGGGTCAGGATCATCTGGTTTGTCTCACAGATGATGGACTTCTCTTCACCATGGGCTGTGGCGAACAGGGGCAGTTAGGTCGAATCGCTGAGAGGTTCGCTAAGGATGGAGGCCGTAATGGCATCGGTATATTGTTATTCTTTACTATTATAATAATATTTCTCTGTGTGTCTAGAGTTGATCGTTATTAGAATCAGCACCAGGGGTTTCTGTTGTGTGATATTTTCTAACTAATTAGCTTACCTTCTACAATTGTGCTTTTTTGAATTGCTACCTTGTTTATATCTCGATTTCGAGTCTTGATATCCAGTAATTTTGCTACCTGCAAAGTTGTGAGAAGTTAAAATACTTTTAATGCTAGTAGTCACTTTACATGACTTACTAATTATACATTGAAGTTAGGTTAGTTTATCGTCGAATCTCAATTATTACTTTTACATGTGCTTTTCATGTGCTTGCTGTTTCAGTTAGCGATTGAACTAGTGCTTAGCTTCACATAGTTTTCGAGGTACCAGCAGCATCACGCACATTTTTCAAACGGATGTTCAAACGCGTAGTGAAGGAAGCAAAAAAACTGTACGCTTTTTTTCTTACTAGACAGATGGTTAATTAGTAATGAATTTAATTTAGTGTCAATGGTATTTATTTATTTATATCAAATGGCAGGCGTTTTGATAGTTATCATTAGCCCTTTAGTTGACTTCAGGCTTCACAGAAGGAGGGAACAGAAGAGTGTTTCAAAGATGTAGAAGAGACAAAGGTAGAAAAATGGTGAGGTGAGTACTGTGGAAGTAGTCGAATATGACACCGTGGGATGATGGTAGTTAGAATTCAGAAGTCAACTGCCAGTTAATAGACTT